TTATCTTTTATAATTATGTAAGTATTATTGTTCGTGTTATTACATTTAATAAGACTTCAAAAATCACATAAACATCATTACATAGAGGTAGTTAGTATCTTTATTTTTTTTCTTCAGATTAATTATCGTCATATACAGGATGTTTCAGGATTAAGTGGTCAAACTAAGATATGAATCAAGAACCTCAAAACAAGAAAAAAATCCTATGAAGGTATGTCCGCAAACGCTTCGTTTAGGAGATATTCACACATAAAGATTTTCATTGTTATGAATTATGCACGTTTTATTAAGTAAAAAAAACTTATTTATTTCTTCGAAGTACTTTATTAATTAAACGTAAACATTAAATTCATATTAAATGTTGCTCAAAGTGATTCCCTTGAGCATTAAGGCTCGGTATCTTTCTTCAACAGCAGTAGTCGCAGAACGGCACTGAATATGTGTTTTTGTTTCACAAGATTCAATTATCCTTCTTCGTAAGGAACTAAGGTTATTAACCGGACTTGCGTAGACTTTTTGTTTAATGTCACCTCAAACAAAAAAATCCAGTGATGTCAGGTCTGGAGAGCGTGCAGGCCTAGCCACTGGTCCTGCACGGCCAATTCATTGATTGGGATAATTAACATTTAGCCATTGTCGTGGACCTCTTCCGTAATGTGCAGAACAACCATCAAGTTGAAGCCGCATATCCCTTCTCAGTGGTAGTGGAGTATATTCAACTAAATCATAGTAATCATTTCAATCCAGAAATGTACAGAAATACCTTCACTTTAAAACAATATTTTATATGAATGTTAATATTTATATTTAATTAATAAAGTAGTGAGAACAAATAAATAGGTTTTATTTATTTCATACAACGTAAATAATTCATAACAACGAAAATCTTTAGGTGTGAATATCTCCTAAACAAAGCGTTAGCGGACATACCTTCAGAGAAAATATTTTCTTGTTTTGAGGTTCTTAGTTCATTTTTACAGTTTGGCTACTTAATCCTGAAACACCATGTATACTTAAAAATAAAGCTTTCGATCTGAAGGCCCTCCTCCCTCCTTCCTCCCCCAAAAATTAAATCCTGGATCCGCTAGTGTATATGATGTAGTATGGATCTATTTAGACTTATACGAGGCCTCCGAAAAGTATATGTCCCGGGACCTCTATAGAACGTTAATTATAGTGGTACAAATGGGTCACAATATTTCAAGTCTATACATTTTCATGTCATTATATTTCTCTGTTCACATTTACTGATTGTATTTTAATTTTAATACCGTTGTGAATTTCATAAATAAAAAAAGAATGGATTTAAACTTCTATATGGTACATTGTCATAATTTCTAATGGTTCTATCATCCGACTTCATAAGTTCTGTATTACGAATGTTAATTTATACAGTTTCTACCTGCAACGAGTGCCGAAAGATACTGAACGCACGTTAACGAACAAACATCCAAAGTCAATATTTTCTGTACAAGAGCTAAAATTATACTGACATCTACAGTAGTGTCTGAGTCACCAGTGGCAAAATATAATAAATCATTTTTTTTTTTGTATTATCCCAATGTTAAAATAAACGATGATAATATCATTTTTAGGGAATCGAAATAGCATACTTTTTCTGATGGATTCAATCCTTATAGAATTAAACTTATTCTGCATTGTTGCTAATAAAACAAAAAAAAAAAAAAAAAAACTCGTGTCTGAAATCTATATCAATTTTCTTTGGGAGGAAACAGGCTTCTCCTTTTGTTTTACATAGCAATATACCTTGCACGATTTATTGATTCTAACTTTTTTTTTCAGTTGTTCTTTCTTTCAATCTTTCAACCCTGTGTTCGTCATATTTGATGTATTTTCTATTTAATTACGGTTTCAAAAATAAAAACCTTAAAAAATTCATAAGAAAAACAAAATCACGATTTTAATGATTTAATAAATATAAATTTATTAAATATAAATATCAAGCATTTATAACTGTAATATAAATATAGATAGATAGATAGATAGAAAGTAAACTTTATTCTGGGACAAGGTCCCTTATGAATAACAGATATGAACAAAAAAATTAAAACTACATCTGGCCAAAAATTACATTAATCAATATTAAAGAATATATACAGTATCTTCAGTGAAATTAAATTAAAACAAGTAAAAATAAAATAAAATTTTGAGAAAAAACGAAATAAAAAAAAACAACATTATTTAAATGAAGATAAAAATAAAATAAAATAAGCATGGGTTGATTTTTAAAATTAAGACAATAAATTTTATCAATCATTCACCTCAGTCAAAATCTGTTTCACAATATTTATTTTATTGTATAACGTCATTTTGGGATGTGAGAAGGAATTGGTAAAGATGATATTTAAATGAGGACAAGGAAGAGGCATGACGGATTTCAGATGGCAAGGAATTCCAGAAGGCTGTGGATCGGGAAATAAAGGAATATTCAAACGTCTTAGTTCTATGGGAAGGGATATAAAGGTCGGAAACACGGGATCTTGTTTTCTGGGAGTGGACCACGGGTTTAAACTGTAGGAGACTGTAGATGTAAGAAGGGTGTCTAGTGTTGATTGTTTGGAATAGGAAAGATCCGAGGAAATATTGTCTGCGGAAAGAAGGGAAGAGCCACTTTAACTCGTCGTAAAGGTGGGACACATGAGATCGCTTTGATGTACCGAAGACAAATCTTAAGCACGTATTCATGAGTCGCTTCAATCTATCCTCGAGTACCATCGGGATGCCTCCGTACACCACACAGCCGTAGTCAAAGTGGGGGAAAATGAGAGAGGATACAAGGAGCTTGCGGATGGGTTGTGGGAGTAGGTGGCGGGAGCGATGAAATAGCTTAAGGGTACCTATTGACTTACGGGAGATGAGGGCAATATGGGGTTTCCAGGAGAGGTTTTCGTCTATGGTGATTCCTAGGTTTTTAACGGATGAACTGAATGTGACAGGATGATCGTTGATGACTAAAGGAGGAAGGAAGGAGATGGATTTAAGAATAGGACTGGAACCTATAATAATGGCCTGAGTTTTCATCGCATTTAGATTTAAATTATTCAGACTTGCCCAGGCACTGATCCTATCTAGGTCAGCCTGAATATAAAATATAAATATAAAATACAAATAATATAAATATAAATATAAAATACAAATAATATAAATATAAATATAAAATACAAATAATATAAATATAAATATAAAGACTTAACAAAAAATAATAACAAATTATTTAACAGTTTTCTTACTATCAATAAGATATTAGCACTCATAATTTTGAATGTACAAGAGAAAGGCATATTCAAAACATATGTTGTATTTCAACTGTTTAATTGAGAAAGATAAAAGTATATTAACGAAAAGTGAGAATAGAAAAAGTAATAAAGAAAGGAGTCCTCGTATATAAAAAATATATAGTGAGGAAAAGCTTAGTGATCTTTTAAAAATTCTAATCCAAGTTTTTAACCAAAATACACATTTCAAGCCCCCTAGGCAGAGCTGCATATCCGCCCTAAAGGGTGATGGCCCAAATGTTTGTTTAATTTATTTTTAAATCAATAACCTAATAGAAATAAATACATATCACTACTGTTAGTGCAACTGATTATTTCTTCATGATTTATTATTATAATTTCATATTTTATTCTTCTCTGCTATTTTCCTATTTAGTAGACTTCTGATAGTTGTACACTACAAAATGTCACTTTTAGAGCGAAGAGAATAATCATGTAAAATTGTTACATGTGCTTTTTCACAAACTGTAGCGATATATTCAGCGATTTTGTTCATATTAAATTCAAATATTTATATCATATATTTCAATATATTATTTATTTTAAGGCAGAGAAGTCGATACAATATTTTCTGCTGCCTCCCCTCTCCTTTTTAATAATTATCATCCTTTTTTAAAGACACAGGATATCTCGATTTTCTTCTATTTAATGAATGTTTTTTTGCAGTTTGATGTGGCTGCTAAGACTTCCGTTAATAAAACACAAGTTTCAATACCTTCTCTATTTTTAAATCTACTTCTAAACTAGTTCCAGAGCTAATATTTTAAAGCATACTGTAATAGTTAGTATAAATAAAAATTTATTCTTTACTGTGGCCATGGCAGCACTATATGTCAATGAATTTCATTGGTATCATTTGTGAGATATGAGTGGAGCAAGAAACAGAACAGGTGTCCAGAATGGTGTAAGTTGCTCTAAAAAACTTATGAACTTTTGGGAGGAGTTTTCAATTGAAGAGGACTTTCAAACCTAGGAACAAGGGAAAACTAAACTTCAAATTTTATCATTTTACTTTCATTTGCACTGTTCTTAAGGGAAGGAGGAGCAATAAATTTTCTTGGGAAGGGGGCATGCACTACCATTCTTGGGAGGAATGGGTAACCCTGGAAAACAGCTGTTGATTTTTTTGTAAATATCCTAAACTACTCCAGGCACCAACCATCTCCTCACCTCACCATTATTTCAATCTACCTAAAATAGGCTATGTGCTTCTCTCATGGAAAGAACGAAAATATAACACGTCTTAAAACTTAATGAAAAATATATCAAAAATTCATTTTATTTTTTTCATAAGGATTTATGAATATAAAACCATGAACACAAATAAAAAAATTATTCTTTATATTTATGGTCTTTCTATTTTGTTTTTCCATCCCTATTCTCCCACCACACCTAAAAACCTGGTGCACTGAAAAAATTCCCAGTCTGCCCCTCTATAATATAAATCAAAACCCAATGTATGAAATTAAATAAAAAAAGTCCTGTCAAGTGATAAATAACCATTATAGACTACATTTTATAAGTACACACAAGCTTTTCTCTATCTGGAAACTGAAAATCTATACACTTTCTAATCATTTAATGTCATATCACCTTGTTCAATTTCAATCTATCTCTTAAGTTCCTTCTTATAGTAGAATTCATAGGAAAGACCATTTATTATTCAATGGCAATAATATATTTTTTTTTCTGTTTTCTTCTTAGGCAAACAGCAGTATCAAAAAAGAGTGCTTGTACAAAATCCTGGTCATCGGAGAGCTGGGTACCGGTAAGACGTCCATCATAAAGAGATACGTCCATCAGTTCTTCTCGCAACACTACAGAGCCACTATTGGAGTTGATTTTGCATTAAAAGTACTCAACTGGGATCAGAACACTATAATTCGGCTGCAGTTATGGGATATTGCTGGTAAATTAAAATTTATATCAGTCTTTGTAGTTAATTAAAACAAAACTTTTGTTCTTGAAACTAGGTAATATGTAGTACAATATATATATTCTTTTCATTGAATGAAGGTATTTTATGGACTGAATAGATTACTCCTAACCTGGGGTCTCCAAACTACGGCCCGTATCCAGATCCGCAAGCACTTCCAATTCAGCCTACAAAAGTTTCTTTGATTACATCTTAAAATTTTAAAACTATTTAAAAATATTAAATTTGATAAATTTTCCAAACAGGAGGTTATTATAACATTTATTGCATAAATTGTTTCTCTTAAAAAGCTCATTTCACGACTAAAGTGGCATTTATAGAACAAGATTATTTTTTTCATCACAAGCCATGACCGACGGGACTTAGTGGATGTCTCAATGCGACCTGTGGGACCTGGTGGGAATCTCAATGTAGCCTGGGGACAAACAAGTTCGGAGACCCCTGTTCCAAACCATGTTATATATTTTTGTAGCCAGATTTTTTCTTTTGCTATTTTACTTTTTTCCTGCCACAAATCAGTTAAATTACCTTTTTATTTGTTATGTTTTATTAATATTATGCTTCCAATCAAATAGAGCATTCATTGATTAATTTTCTCTCATTTTGTTCAAATATATTTTTTGTTATAAAATTAATTTTGAAGTATGAACCATTGTTAAAATATTATTATATTTGGTGTCAGTAAATGAAAGATATACAATATTGGTATGATTAGTGAACATCAGTGTATAAAGACATAAATACATGTCTGTTGTTTTAAAGGTCAAGAACGTTTTGGCAACATGACTAGAGTCTACTATAAAGAGGCAGTTGGTGCTTTCATTGTCTTTGATGTTACTCGAGCAAGCACATTTGATGCGGTGGTGAAATGGAAGCAAGATTTAGATGCAAAGGTACAACTTGCCGATGGAAGCCCAATACCATGTGTCTTATTGGCCAACAAGGTATTTATTTCATTTCTCATTTGTTCCTAACTTTATAGTAAGCGGAATTATGAATTATTATTATTTAAAATGACTCATCTAGTTGTATTTAGTAAATGTAACAATTCACTAAATTTTTTTACTAGAATTTTTTAATAAAAAATAGAGCTTTGTTTTCAATTTTTGACTGAGTCTGTCGAAAGATTTAGTTATCTGTAACCACACCATATTCAATTAAAATATTCTTTACTGTTACATTTTTTTTATACCATTTAATTTTTGTCTCTTATTACTTTTGTTTATTTTTTTAGTGCGACCAGCAAAAAGAAGGAATAGTGAATAATCCTAATAAAATGAATGAGTACTGCGAAGAACACAAATTTTCCGGTTGGTTTGAAACATCAGCTAAGGAAAATATAAATATAGAAGAAGCCGCAAAAACATTAGTCGATCAGGTCAGTTCATTCTGTTTTTCACATTTCATGAAAGTAAAATATCACCTAAAATAAAATAAAAGGGATCTTGATTTTTCTGCTGTTTACTTCAGCTATATATATTTCTATGCTAACCTAAATTACTCTCCTAAATTTATATTTATGAAGATTGCACTATGACGATAAGGAGATTGATAAAAAAGGAAATTTTTACTCATTGTTTTCAATGTTTCTGTTTTATTTACAGATTGTGCGCAATGATAGCTCTAATGAAAACGGCCGGGGAGGATCACGAGATTCATCAAAATTTCCACTAGAATCATCTGAAGAATTTTCAGAAGGAAAATCTTGTGCCTGCTGACAGTGTCTTGAAAAGTTAAAGACTGTTTTCAAATCCTGCTATTTCAGAAATACAGGGTTCCAACCGACGAAACCTATAAAATGGAATATCCTCAGTCTACATATATTGCATTCCTAGGCTGTTTATTACAGCATTTATTTAAAGTCTTTTTGCTCAAAGTTTCATTCAAGGGAGCAGTGTAATATATTAATTTTGTATATGTATACATTGGCTAAAATGAAATGAAAAATCATTTTGTGTCAGTTAATTGAATGGGTAATTTATTTATAGAGTGAAGCGTTATCGAGCTACAGCCATTTTTTATATCTTTTATTAATCTTAATTTGGTATTTCAATTGTTTTAGCTGAGAGTATGCATAATAACATAAATGTACATAAAATAAATATGTTTTTAACATTTTAAATTATTTTATGAAATTTTCTTTTTGTTAGTTAAAATTTATAAGAAATAGTATAAATCTATGGTGTTGTTAAAAGATATATTGATGTTTACTTAGTAAGTCGATGTGCCATTAAGTTGTTAAAATTAATACTTTTATTTTTAAAATGACTTGTTTAATTATTTTTTTTTATATATTTTCTTTGAGGTATATAATTTTTATTATAAAAATCACCTTTGCTATAATTCACAAGAATATTTTATTAAGTGGTTATTCACTACCACTGTTAAGTGATATTATATATGCAATCCTTTTTGAAGCTACTCAATAAATTCAAATAAAAACCAAATTTGAATGAACTTTATGCAAGTGTTATATACTCATAAAAAATAATGAGACATCTTGTCCTGATATATTTTCTCATGTATTTTCATGATTAAAATAGAATATGTTTTGTATATTATAAATATTATTATAATTAAATGCAAATATTGAAATGTTACTGTCTATTTTTCCTATCCATGACTCTAATTACACTTGATTTTAGCTGATATAAACGATAACTAGAGTGATATCTACATCTTGAAAAATTAATTAAAAATTGAAAAAATTCAACGGAATCGCTAACAACAAGAAGAACAAGGTTCGCCAAATTACGCTCTCTAAAGTTTCTTTCATTCAAGAAATGTAGTAAATAATTCAAACACTAGGTTATTACAACATTTATTGCATGATTTCTTCTTTTTTTATTAGGAAGCTCATTTAACTACTGAAGTGTCATTTATAGAAAGATATCACAGGTTTTAACCTAGTCGATAAAAATCATCGCAAGTTGTCCGAAGTTTTTTGACCATACTACGTAAACAAATTATTAAGCTGTGGACCTAATTTGATACAAAATTTAACATTTTTTCATTTCTCAAAGAATGAATTTTTCACTTGAATGAACAGTTCAGGAGTTATAGTAGAAAAATCAAAATGTTGTTTTAAAACTTTTTTTTGGTTAAAATTAATCAAAATAAGCTGAGGTTTTTTTTTTTTTTTTTTTGGCTAAAATAAGGTCTCCTGAGGCAGTCTATTTTTGTTTTTTGCATATTTGCACTCGTATATATAAGTAAGAAAAAATGAAAACTTCTGCATCTTCCCTATTTCGATCTTCAACTGTCTGACTGCTTAATATTTTAAAATCAGCGGATTTGGAATGGTAAAGAAGGTTCATTTTACTTAAAATAATATAAAATTTTGTAATTAACGTCCAAACATTTTCCTGATATCGGTACAAAGTGCCTGCCTCTAGGCAAGATTTTTTTATGTGTTTTTAGAGAATTAAAAATAAAGGTATATGGTATAAAATGAAATTTGTTGAACTTTATTGTTCAAAAGTACCTTAATAATAATTACCTACTGAAAATAAATAAAAACATTGATGTTTTTCTGCCAAATTATTAGTATTGAAGGTTTAACTTTCAATGGTTTCGAAATTGTTGTATTGATAGTTTTGTCAATACCATACAAGCCAGAACTTAATGGAGGTCTCAATGATGCCCTTCCTTACTCTTTTCTACTCTACCTCAATAACCATCCCATCCGGTTTTTTTTCAACAGTAAAAAATCTAGGAGTAATCTTTGATCAGAATCTTTCCTGGAATAACAATATTTCCCAAATAATCCAAAAATCCATAACTATCCTTAAAGAACTCCTAAGGTACCGTGATTCTATTCCTTAAAAAAACCAGACAGCTCCTCGTAACCTCCCTTGTTTTCACTCGCTTTGACTATGGTTGCTTGGTGTATAGAGGGCTCTCTGAAGGACTAGAGGTGAAATTGGAGAGATTTATAAACTGTTCTATAAGATTCATCTTTGGAATTCCCAGGCATTCTCATGTTTCCTACTGGTAAACTGAGTTGAAGTGGCTCTATCCGTCCTTCCGATGATAATTTCTTCTTATATTTTCTTTTTCCAGGTCTTAAGAACCAAAAATCCTCCCTACATCGTGGAACTCGTCACTCTATATTCCTCTATCCACTCTATTAATACCAGATCTCATTCTATTAATTTATATATCCCTTCTCATAAAACTACATCCTTTAGCAAATCCTTCTTCATTCATGCTACCTCCTTCTGGAATTCTTTACCTATCACTATACGTGTATCAAGTATACGGCAATCATCATCTATAAATTTCTTCAAACAACTCTTATTCCACCACCTACTTCATTTTCAAACTTATACATACCTAAGTAGTACTTATTAGATTCTGTTCACTAACAATTAATCAACAAATTCCACTTGCTTTTATTTAATTTATTTTCTTTTTTTCTTTTGTATACATGTAAACCACATAAAATGTACTTGTGTTACTTTATTTACTGTATTGTTGAAGTATGATTGCAATAACAATAGAAATGACAAGAATCCAAAATCCAAATGACAAGAACCTCTTTGTATTTTTTCAAGCCAGACTAATGAACCCGTTTTGTACCATGTTATTATTTTTAGAGGGCTTTAGTCCCAGAATAAAATTATTTTTTCATTTCATTTTATGATACCTATAGGCCATAAATTGAGGGGATCCCTGGCTTTGACTATTTTTTTTTATTAATACTGTTCAACCATGAGTCTTTATTATATTTTCTGGAGCACTCAAATATCAGCAGTTAAATGACTAAAATTTTAGATAAATCAAAATTTAGTTTAAATTATTTTCAAATTGATACCTTGTTTGAAAGTATTCAGGAATTTTTAATAAACTTTACAATTAACTCGTAACATTTTTTTAAAATGTTCAGTATAAGCTAAGTTGTGACAAAGGAATAGTTTAGTACTTATGGAATAGTTAATTCAGTATTCTTATATCAGTACTCGTACAATATTAGCTGAATTTAATTAAATTAACACAAATTTTTATAAAAATGAATGATAATATAGGAGGGAAACATATAAGAAATAATAGTAGTCTGATGATGAAGTCAAGACTCCGAAACATTACAAAAATGATGATGTGATAATTTAGTAGCATAACCAAGAAATAAAAAATTAGGAAGTAAAAAGCACACTATAATGTATCTAGAAATTTGAACGAAATATATTAATTTGGTATAAAAAAAAATAATGAAAAAAAAAATATATAGCGTTTAATCAAACCAATTTTCTTTTAAATAATGATAAATGTTTCAACTTAAATGTGTTTTTATCTTCTTAACAACAAACTAATTAAAGCTTGCAAACATGGAAAATGTAATATATACTTAAATTAGGATTATTTTCAAATAACAACAAGCCAAGGTACCAATCCATTGTATCAATGTTTTTTATCCACTGAATAATGGTAACTTATTATGACGTTTCGCTACTTTACTATAAACTTCTTTACTCTTTATTGTTAACGCCAAGAACCGTTGAATAAACTCTCGGAAGCTCATTTTTTGACATGAGGAAAAATTCGACTTACTAGATTGAGAGCTTGTATTCATGAAGTTTGCAAAAGATGTGAGAAAATCAACTATATTGGGAGAGAAAAGCCCTACTATCTTTGTTAATTAGGAAATTAAATAAAAAACAAACATCTATACTAAATAATTTATAAAATTAAATCAGAGCAGAATAGCTCAGCAAACTAAATAGCTTATGAAAGATAGATAATCAAAGTTAAATGATGTCAAGAATAGTAAGTACTTGGTTCGTTAACAGCCAAAATAGAATGACTATCCATAGGAGAAAGCCACACTACCTGAGATCCCAGTAATGAATATGTGAGACCATCAGACTACAGGAAGTAACTCACATTAACTGGGCACAGAAGTGATGACCTTACCCCATGTACTTTACTTAAATCAGGAATCATGGCTAATTTGGGTGAGTTAGTGGGAAATTAACTGCTCTAGGTTGGTGCAAAAGAGATCAGCTATGAAGTTTTTTTTTACCGCCAACCTCGCCATTTCTGGCATATAGAGGTGCTGTTCTAGAGGTACAACTACAAGAGCTATTTAAACCAGAGTAGAAATGTTGAGAATCATTCCGTGGGTTTGTCCCAAAATAAATTTGAGAGTGATAATGAGAGTAACATTGAAACAACCTCAGCCACCAAGGCCTCATCAGCTAGAGAACTATTGGTGGCCTGCCACTGCACAATGGTCTGTAGCTAGATTAGGTTGAGTGATTCCCTCCTGGCTACCTATGCTCCTAAAAGCAATATATGTCTGTCAGAATGCACCATCACACAGCCAGTCTATAATAATAAATATACTTTATTTATTCTGGGACGAGTCCCTTTAGAATAATAGAGAAGGACAGAAATGTGGGCTAAGCAGCCTGAGAGATACATTAAAAAAAAAAAATGCTGAGTGATTAAATAGTCATAATAAAAAATTATAAGTTACTTTCTAACTTAAATAAGTTAAATAATATATATATATATATATATATATATATATATATATATATATATATATATATATATATATATATAACACAATTTCATGTAGGTAGTTAGTTTCTTTCTGTTTTTTATGGTAAATAATTTTTTATCGTAAGTAATTATCGTTAATTTTATGGAAAAAAAAGCTTTGGATCAGAAGCCCCCCAAAAAAATTAAATCCTGGATCCGCTAGTGCATAGATTGAATTAATTGATGCTTTTTTTTTTTTAATTTGATAAGCTATTATTTACCTTATGCATGTGATTGTGTGATCTGCAACCTACATGAACTACAAAAGCCTTGGAAGCACTGATGCTATGGAATCTGGAAACGATGAAAGTTCCACCAGTGGTGTACCGTGACCATTTTGGTGAGCAGAGCAAATGTAGTTTGAGGCCTCCTAAAAAAAAAACTATAACAATATCGAGAATATCAAGAATTTGCCTTGGAGTTAAAAACACTATACCATCTGAAAAAAATAAAAATAACTCTAATAATCATATCTTGAAATAGTGTTATATTAAAAAAAGTATAATATAAGGAAACAACACAAGATCTTGGACTTGACTTGAATTGGCTTATTTAAAATAACCACAAAAAGCAGTCCTGCTTAATACATACAAGATATAATAAAGGTTTTAAATAAGTAAAATCATTCAACTTCATTTCCTTGCGTATTTTCCGGAGTATGGATGCTATTCCAGAAATCTGAGAAGAGAAGCATATAAATAATAATAAAAAAAGTAGATTCTAATTACCATATTTTGGTCTAAGAGACTGATCCTTAAAATTTAAGCCATTGTGAAACAATTATTTTATCTGTAAAAGTTGTCTAGCAGAATGCATATCACATTGTTTATTTTATTTCTTAACTTGGGTTTAGACATTTCACTAACTATGAGACAAACAAATATATAAATGGTTAATTCACTATGCTAGAATTTTTGTTTCTTGTTTTTGATATTTTCCATCTGCTGTTGGTATAAACAGAAGTAATGCAAGCAGTTTGGTTTAGCAATAATGTTGCTGATAATTAAGTTTGATAATTGTGTTTGCCATAGTGTGTGAAATGTCTAAACACACC